GGACACAGCAAATATATCACAATGAAATAGTGGATTTTGTTTTCATAGCAGCTCCTCAATTTACTCTAATGGAGTTCTGGTTTTCCTATGAACACAGAAACCATTTTATTTTTTTAAAATGTCATGAGTGCACCCAGTTGTTAGAGATCTCAGAGCTCTAATTCTGACAAGTCTAATCATGAAAGGAAAGAGGCACATTAAAAATGCATAAATGCAAGCAGCTACAAGAGGTATGGGAGAGTCAAGTTCTTGCCAGAGCAGATCTTGCATTCTATGCTCTTTATTTATCCTGCTGGTCTTTCAATAGGCACAACTTATAAATAGCAAATCATTAATATGTTTAGTTGTCTAAAGAGCTTTAAAAGCCACTTGAGAATGGTATGGGGAAGTTGTTCCCGTTTTCTTGCTGGGACAAAGCAGCACAGAAGAAAAAAAATACTGTCATTGCTGCATCATTTTTCATCATTTTCATAATGATCACTTAGAAATGATTGATTGTTTCATCAAAAGCTGAAAGAAAGAAGTTAGTTTAGTTGTTCAGTTTATAGAATTAGAGGTCTGATACACTAGCATTTCTGAAAGCCCAACTAAAAAAATCCTATATGGGGGGAGGAGGGGTTGTACAATCCATTTAGGTGGACCCAGAACTTCATTGGTATGTATCTAACTGTAAGCTTTTGGAGTGAAAGGTGTGCAATAATGGTAGCATTAATCTTCTACTTCCTTAATGTGTCTGGGATAAGTTATTAAAATGTATGTCATCATATGTCCTAAATATCTCCTTTATTACATTCTTTTGTTCTGGTATGCAAAGGCTTTGATACCACAAAGTTCACTTGTGAGTTCAAAGAAAGAAAGATTATTTCTGTGATGCAGGTAAATCAGGTGCCAACTCTTGCCAAGTCTGTAAGTGTCAGCTGAGCACTGACAAATTCACAGATGGAAACCAGATCAGCTCACCTATATGTTATATTTTTCAAGGTAGATGTTGAACTTGTGAGAATGTGTTGAGTATTTATGAAAGGTGGATAAATTGCAGTATGCATTCATCTTACTCATAGTTTCTGTGTCCCATGCTGTTGTATGAAAGTCTTGCTTTATAATTGTAAAAATCCCTGCTCTGAACTTATGAATCTAGGCAGGAGAAGTGGTCCCTGCCCATCCAGAAGAATTATCAAGACTAAATGGTGCATTGTGGAACATCTCAACACAAAGACTGATTTATTGACCCTTTTGCACCCATGAAGGTGCTATGAGAGAGAAAGCAGGTCCTGTCAACTTAAATTCTGGAGGAGGGAAATAAAGATAGTTGACATGAAGATTTGCCATCACTTTGCTGTTTGGATTTTTAGGCCAGCTCTATACTTATCCCAAGGTCAATGCTTTGGAGATCAATCTTGCGGAGTTCGATTTAGGGGGGTCTCGTAAGGACCCACTGAATCAACCACTGATGGCGTTCCTGTTGATCCTGGTACTCCAGGATGTCAAGAGGAGTGAGGGAAATCAACAGAAGAGGTTTTCCCTTTGACTTCCGACAATGGGGAGTCTTAAGTCGACTTTCTCACATAGTGTAAACCTAGCTTTACAAGAGCTGGAGTGATTAAAAAAAATGCAGAGATCTACAGGGTCAGCCCTGGTTAGCCCTTACAAGATATTCAGTGCAGACAGATTATTACATCTCTGTCACTTTTTGGAACCATAGACTGAATTCATTTGTGTATATGTTGCCTGTTTTAACTTGTAAATAACTCAATTCTTGTAACTATTTAATACATCTTTAATAAGTTTATTATAAGATTGGCTAGCGGTGTTGTGTTAGGTGTGAGATCTGTAGTACAAATTGATCAGACATAAGTGACTGGTCTCTGGAGGCTGAGAGCATCCTGAAAATTTGTGACCTGTTTTCACTTGCAGCTTGTCTGGGTGGCAAGATAGACTGGGATGTCCAAGGGGACTGTCTGTGACTCCATGGTAATACTCTTACAATGATCCAGAAGTGCACATTTGTTACTGGGTAGGTAAAATATAATTATAGAATTTACCACCAATTTGGGTGGTCTCCCCTACTTTTGACAGTTTGTTGTAATAGTAGCTCCATAATTTCAAATTTCAATCTTCTTTAGAGAAATATAGATCTATTTTATTATTGAAAGTAAAGTTAATTAGCTGAGGCCAAAAGAAAAATGAAAGTCTCTCTAGCCAGAGGATTAAAACCAACTGTGCATGTTTTATAGTCTCCTTTCTTTAGCCCTTTATTTATAGAAGAGGATGCATCTGCATACTGTGGAAAACACGAAGAAAAGAAACATGTAGACCAGCTAACTATTGCATTCTTACCTAATTTGCCTATACAGTTCAGAAGCCTGGAAATATCACCATATAATGAGCTTTATAATTCTTGGGAAAAAATTGTTTTAAGAGCACACCCTCTATCATATCTTCTATGCAACTGATGAGGGATCAATGTGCAAAGGTTTGGAAGCCATGAAATGAGGAATTCCAATAGGATCTGTCCTGATATCAACTCTAGATAGGGGAGAAACAGAGCAGGGTAGAGCACCGAATACATCCCCAACTACCTTGTGCAAACAGGGGGCTGTATTATGACTCTATTTCCTGCACCACAAAGAACCAACCAGGATGGAAGATGGCTGGGTAGAAATTGTGCTATATTTTGTAAAGGGCTTACACAGCATATTGTCCTTCCTGCAGAAGAGGGGAACTGTGTGCCTCAGTCACAGAAGTGTAGGGCTGGAAGAGACCACCAGAAGTCATCAACTCCAGCCCCCTGTACTGAGGTAGGACCAAGTAAACCTCAAATATGCCTGACAGGGTCTTGTCAATCCTCTGACACAACTTCTTTAGGAAGCCTGTTTCACAGCATATTTGCCATTATAGTTAAAATGTTTCTCCTTCTTATCTACAAATATCCAGAATAGTATTAGCTTTTTCTGAAACTGTGTCACAGTGCTGACTTATTCAATTTGTAATCTACTATGATCCCCAGATCCTTTTCAGAAGATACCACGTACACTGTTATTCCTCACTGTGTGGAGCTGAGCGTTAGATTTTTCCTGCTTAAATGAAGAATTCTGCAATTATATTTATTGGATCTTATCTTGTTAAATTCAGATCAATTCTCCATTTGTGAAGGTCATTTTGATAGAGTTCTAATCCTGACCTCCAAATTGCTTGCTACTCCTCTCAGTTTGGTGTTATGTACAGATTTTACAAGCATTTTCTTCACCCCATTTTCCAAGCCATTAAAGAAAATATTAAATAGCAATGGACCCAGGACTGACCCTTGTGGAACCCCACTAGATACAATCTTCCAGTTTTACAGAAAACCATCAATAACTACTCTGAGTCTGGTCTTTCAACCAGTTATGCACACTCTAGATAGTAATTTCATCTGGACCACTTTTCAGTAGTTTGCTTATAAGAATGTCATGTAGGTCCTCCCTCTTCACACTGGGTCAAAAATCTCATTTAAAAACAAGATATATCATACCTATTGCTTCTTCTCTCCATAATGAAGCAGTAACCCTGTCAAAAAAGACATTAGGTCTGTTTAAGCATGATGTTCTTGACAAATCCATGCCAGCTATTCCTTATAACCCTCTAGATGCTTATAAATTGATGGTTTAATAATTTATTACAGTATCCTTCCTGGAATTGAAGTTTTTCTGACTGGTCTATAATCCCTGGGCCCTCTTTGTTCTTCCTTTTGAAAACTGGTACTATGTGTGCTGTCCTCTTGGATATCACCCATACTCCAATTGCTATCCGAATTAATTGCTAATGGTTCTGAGATTACTTCAGCTTGTTCCTTAATTCCCTAGGATGAATTTCATCAGGACCTCTCAACCTGGGTATATCCAATTTGCCTCAATATGCTTTAACATGTT